ACATTTGTAGGCTTCTAAACTCACTTTTTGAATAACATTTCTCATATGTGAACGTGTGCTACATGCTTGTCTGTTTCAAGAAAAAAAAAACTCGAAAGCATTTCCCCTTAGCTTCCAAGTATATATATATATATATATATATATATACCCGATAAGCAAAGAGAAAAAGATAATCGAATCTTTCATAAACAAACAATTATGTAATACATGTTCACATTCTAAATGAGATTAAATATTCAAAAAGCACTTTCAAAATGCGGACAACTCGAAATTAATTTTTAAATTTGCGCAAGTATTTCTGGACTCATGATGATTACAAAAGCATACACGCAAACGAATAGAATTTGGAAGATTTTTTTTTGTCATTTATAGCACCTTACTTTTGTATATATTTTGTTATTTATGGCATATGATTTTGTTTTCAGTTTTCTACAATAGCATTGTACTTTATGTATTATATTTTTTATTCTACTTAATGATTGTACTTTTCAATATATGTTTCTACTTATAATGTCATATTTTATGAATATTATAGCGTTGTACTTTACAATATTTTTATTATTTAATAACATTATACTTTAAATATTATATTTATTTTTTTCATTTGAGCACTATACTTTTTCATAAAATTTTTAATTTATAGTAACATATATAATCTTATTATGGCATTTTACTTTACAATACTTTTGGAAAGTACAATGCTCTAATAGAGAAAAATGAAAAGAAAAAGTTTGTATATTTGTATGTAATTTGGAAAGTACAATGCTATAATGGAAAAAATGAAAATAATAATAATAATAATAATAATAATAATAATAATAATAATAATAATAATAATTTGTAAAGTACAAACTAAATTTTTATATTTTTTTCCATTATAGCATTGTACTTTCCAAGTTGCATACAAATACACAAACCTTTTTTTTTCATTTCTTTCAATTATAGCATTGTACTTTTCAACTTGCATACAAATACAAAAACTATTTTTTTTTTCGTTTTTTTCCATTATAGCATTGTACTTTCCAAATTGTGTAACTGTTTTTTTTTTCATTTTTTTCCACTATAGCATTGTACTTTTAAAAAAAACCCTTGATACATATATACACACATTATACATACACATACACTTAAACATGTTTTCTACAAACATTTCATATTCATTATGGCATCATACATTTTTTTTCATTTTTTCCATTATTACATCCTACTTTTTTTTCAATATTTCCATCATATATTCATTTTACACATTTTTTTTCATACATCATACACATTACAATATAGACAAATACACTTAAGCATACATCCTATACATATTATATACTCATTATAGCATCTTTTGTTTGATTTTTTCCATTATAGCATTGTACTTTCTAAAAAAACCCTTTATACATATATACACACATTACATACATAAGCACACACATTATGTATACAAATATACGTAAACATGTTTCCTACACATATTAGATATTCATTATAGCATGATACTTTTTTTTTTATAGTTTCTTCTATAGTAGCATCCTACTATTTTTCATTTTTTCCATACATATATACACATATTACATAACAATATATAAAAATTTATGTATTCTATTTCATGTACTTTTATCATACACATTACATACATACATAATACATACAATATGAAGAACTAGATTAGAATACTTCATGAGATGGAATAGAACGTGTGGGAACGAAATCAGATTAGTGGTGGTGTTGTGGGTTTGTTGTGGTGGAAAAGGCGTTAGATAGTCGGTGTACAGTAAAGAAATTGGAAAAAAAATTCAAAGAATCACCTGTAAAATCCAAAGGCTACGATAGGAAAAAAAAAACTCGGCAAAATCCAGCAGATATCGTCGGTGATGGCGCTCTTGTCGTCGTCGGTGATAGAGGCTGCGAAGGCTTGGTACAATTTCGGGTAACGATCGTCAACGATGAGAGTGAAAGAAGACAGAATACATAAAACGATGGAGGAAGAGAGGTATATATGTGATGACCTTTAGCGACAACGACTATTTATGTCGATGGGGAGACTTTGGCGGTGACAATAAGGTTTTAGCAGCAACACCTTCACGAGGCAAAAAAAAATACCACATTTTTTTCAGTATTAGTTGCAACGATGTCGTTGCAATTGAGGTCGCCACTAATACTTTAAGTGATCTTCATTTACGGTCATTCGATTAGGTCCAAACAACGGATATGGTTAACAAATTTCTTTTGACGTGGATCGTGGTTTTCCATCTTTAACAACGACACATAAACCGCAAACTACGTGTCAACCACTAATGGCGCCGCCCCTATTATGTTTATTTCTTGTAGTGTTTTATCTTTAACTTTTTGTGACTCTTGAATTGCTTGCAGTGGTTTAGTTTGATATGAATTTTGTAACACCCATTGATGTAAAAATTTTAATAATGGTTTTTGGTGGATTTTATTTTTGTAAACCATTACTATATGTAATGACATGTTTAAAAACCATAGCACTAATAGTGCTAAAGAAATTTGGGTGTTACAAGTTTAACCAGTAGAATTTTGTTTTGGATTGACATAGATAATGTGAGACTGAGCAATCAGGATTTCATATGGAGGGTTTCCAAGAAATATGTTGCCTGAATGTTTGCATGGAAAAGAAGTATGTGGATGCCATTGTTTATTGTTCGGATCATACATTCTGATTCTCATTTTGCTAGGAAAGTGCAAGTATAAGAAAAATGAAATAAAATTCCATTTTAAGAAAAAAAAAAGTTTTAGAAGTTTTGGTTGCCGTATTGGCCCGTATTGTCATATTGTAAGACTTTGATTTCATATCTAAATTGAATTTGTATATACACAAGAAAATGTGGAAATTTAGATAAAATATATGTTTTTTGGCAACCACGGAAAGTGAAAGAAGTGATCTAAAAACAAGACATAATATTTTATTCCACTCATACCGGGTATAGGTGATGTCCATATATCGAAATGCACATATATATCAAAAATACTAGAAACGTGAGAACTTGAAGTACTAAAAATAAGGCGAATATGTTTTTCAAGTTCACAAGCTTGAGAAGAAACATTAAGTTTTGCCTTCATTACAAGAATAAATTTATTTGATGCGTAAGACTCACCTAGCTCCTGTCGAAAATTGTTTGGTTGTAAAAATCAGCTCGATGGGGTGCTTCATGAAGCTATAATGCTAATCTTCATGTGCGTAATTTGGAGATTTAAAAATGGCAACGCTCATGCTCTAAACTCGATATCAAAATTGGTGCTCGCATATGAGGTACAAGCCCTTTCACACTTATGGATCAACACTTGGAAAGGGGAGGACAGAATCCGAGGTAGATCGATTGGTGTTGTGACCCAATTCTATAATGTTATTGTAGGTAGTAATTTTCTCTGATCTTTTGCTGTTTTGTTTTAGTTTCCTTTGTAGTACAACACTTGTGTACCTCGTAGCCTCTAGCTAGCTTTTTCTTAATACATATGCCTGCCGTTCAAAAAAAAAATGATGAATAGACGATGTGGCTGGATATAGCTCCACTATATTATCACATCTAAGAAGAATTTTGTAGCTTCAAAAGTCCTTTACAAAAAACCTACAAGCAATAAAATGAATAGTATCATGGTTGTCTTTTGTTAATCAGTGGACAAAGATTACGTTCTCAAGGATATTAATGTTACACGGACGTTATTAATATGGAAACTACTCCCATTGTGGAGAAAAAAGGCATGGTAGCATGAAGTGCAATGAATTGTGAGGAGGTAAAATCTTGGTTGATGACACTGCTCTTGTGGTACCGCTGTTGTGAGACGGTGGCAGGTGAGTGAGGAGAATACAAGGACGACGACAATTCTGGTTATCCATATAAGCCTTCCATGATAGGCCATATGGATAACAAGTGCTACATTGAGCTTCAAGTAACTTTCTTCAAGCATCATAATTAAGTTGGTTGAGATCTAGAATGACAAGAACATAAGTGATGTCGTAAGGTTTGTTGTTGGAGGCAGTAGTATTGCCGATGAGAGCAATATGACACAGATGGTCGTGGTCTAGGTTTAAGTTTATATAGGAAGAAGAAAGGGAGGTGTGAAGGGTTCTCTTATACCATATATTAATTTTGAATATTTTTTATACGTTACTTTGCATTGTTTTAGTGACTAAATACAATTTACAGTTAAATGGGCTAATCTATTCGTGTTGACAACAAATAGATAAAGTATGGGCCTATACAAATAATGTAAAACATGCCTAATTCAATATTCTAATTAAAAAAATTTAATATCTTTATTAAGTTGACTGTTAATTAAATAATGCATTGAAAGCTTATAATAAAGAAAAGCAATGTTTTAAAACCCGGGTCGACCCGGCCGGTTCAACCGGTTGGACCGTGACCCGGGGTAAAAGGTGGGTCAATTGAGACCGGTTTTTTGTAAAAATACGAACCGGATCGAACCGGCCGGGTTTCCCCTAAACCACGGTTCGACCGCTTATGTTGAACCGGTTAAACCGGATTGACCGGTTTTAATAAACCTTGGATAGTTGGATACAAGTATTGAGCGCATAAACAACGAACCGTTTGCGGTTTCTTCAATGTTTTTCAATGTTTAAACTTTGTGGGCATCAAATTATTGGTTTTATATGTTTATGCATTATGCATGAAAGTAAAAATATATAGAAATAGAAAAAGATCATAAACCGGGTTGACCAGACGGTTCAACCGGTTGACCTGTGAACCGGTCATCATACCGGGTCAACTAAAAACCCGAGTTTTAAAACATTGAAGAAAAGTTCACTCTTTTCATTATCTCGAAGCATAAAAATAAAGGATGTAAAATAACAAAATTTTTTATTTATATTTTATTATCAAACAAGCAAAAAGAAGCAACTATTTATTGAATACATAAATCAAATACAAGTCCTAAAACTTTCAACCCTTTTGTCTTGCCGGATTATTATTTCTCTTGAAGTTTCGGAATATAAACTTATTACTATCCTTAAAGATGGCGATCACTCCTTAATGGTGAGGAGGGGGTGGTGAACTGTAGATGTAATGCGGGGGTGGGTACTTTTTCACTGGGGGTGGAGGAGGTGGTGGGGACTTGTAAACCGGTGGTGGTGGTGGTGGGGATTTGTACACAGGTGGTGGTGGTGGCGGAGATTTGTAAACTGGTGTTGGTGGTGGTGGAGATTTATGGAGGACCGGAGTTGGTGGTGGTGGTGACTTGTATACATATGATTTCTTTGGTGGTGGAGGAGGAGGAGACTTGTAAACAGGAGGAGGTGGCGGTGGTGACTTATATATGTAATGTTTCTTTGGTGGTGGTGGAGACTTGTGAACTGGAGGTGGTGGTGGTGACTTGTAAACGGGTGTAGGTGGAGGTGATGACTTGTGAACCGGTGGTGGTGGTGATTTGTAAACAGGTGGTGGTGGTGATTTGTGCACTGGTGGTGGCGGTGACTTGTATACTGGTGGTGGTGGAGACTTGTGAACGGGCATGGGTGGTGGAGGTGACTTGTATACATATGGTTTCTTTGGAGGTGGTGGAGACTTATAAACAGGAGTAGGAGGTGGTGGTGACTTGTAAATGGGTGGTGGTGGTGACTTATGCACGGGTGGTGGTGGTGGTGATGACTTGTAAACATAATGATGCTTAGGTGGTGGTGGTGGTGATTTCTTTGGTGGAGGAGGTGGTGGAGATGAGTAAGGGTAGGCTGCCGTGGCCGATGAAGGCAAGGTGCTTAAAGAAACCATAACTACCGCAAGCGAGATTAAAAGGGTGGCCATTGAAGACATCTTCCCTTTTGTTCCCATTTCCATTAATAGAAGTGGGATCTGAGTTATGAATTTGAGACACCCTCTGATCCTTTATATAGATGAAATATCTTCATTTTCTAATTAAATTTATAATAGTTATAGTAGTCTAATAAAAGAATCATTTTTTTCAACGTGATTCTACCAACTATAATAAATTAAACTTTCTACAATGTAAACTATAAGACAATATGAGACATCCACACATGAATACATCAACATTTGAGTTATCGTCTATTGGACTATTCTTTCATTTAATATATGCATATTATATATTAAATAGTTTTAATTATTCAGGTTAAAATTAAACTGATTACAAACTGATGGTAATAAATTTAACAATTAATTTTTTTTATAGAATTAGTACCTCTATTAAATCCATAGAATAGAGAACGATAGAATGATAAGCACTTTCGGACTCCCTCATAGTATTGACACTGTTTTCCACGGACTGAATGATACCAAATTTTATAACTCTAATCTCTGGACGTATATTAGCTAGGCCTAGAATATGATGACTTAATCATACGAAAACCTTTACCCAACGTCGTACAAGATTTGTCTAGAAGAAGACAAGAGGTAGAACCAATAATTAATCGAGTGACCAGTGAAGAATTATATATAGAGGTAGGTAAATATTTATAACCTAGTACAAATTGATTGGTTGAAAATAACTGACATAATGGGTTCTACTTCATTGACGAGATGAGGTAAGTAAAATTGAATCCGTCACGAAACGGAAGTTCCAATCATTTTGTCTTTTTTTTTTTTTTTTTTTTTTTTATGAATATTTGATGTATCTAATTTTTATATTAACAATAGAATGAATATATATTCCATTTTCCTTTAGTTTCTTTCCCTTTTTTTTTTTTTTTCAATTTGATTCCATTTTATTATATTCTTTTTACATTTGAATTCTAAATTTGAAAATGTATGTTATTATTGGATTAAGGTGTATAAGATCATAATTAAATTTGTATAAATCTACAAATAGAAGCAAAGTCATTTTAGGTTTACTCATAACTAGTAATTTACTATATTGACTTTTAGAGATAAAGATAGATTTATTGATTTATTATATGATTAATAAATAGAATTAAATATTTTGTTAATATATTATGATATTAATATATTTTAAAAATAGTATTATTTAATTAATAATTAATCAGAAATTAAATGACATTAATTTTAGGATTAATTTGATTAATTAAAAGTATAAGGACTTAAGTTGTCATTATTTTATAGTTAAACAAAAGAGGTTTCCGAATCTTCCATGGGTCATGGATGGTTTTGTGACTTATTTTTTAAGGTTTTTAGATTAATCTTTAAAGATAATTTAAAACATTAATAATTACCAAATATGAAATAATAATATTATATTCAAATTAGGGTTTTCAAAGCTCGTTGTATTAACTATAAATAGAGCTCATTGGTTCCTCATTTTCGTCCATTACTCCTGCCAAAGGATTAATCGAAATTCAAACTCCCTATCCTCTCTCTCTTTAAGTGTTTTAACTGCTAGGGTTTGAGTACAACTATTAGAGGCATTGAATTTCTGGTACTTTCTTTCCAAGGCATTTGAAGAAATGAATTGCTTTGATTATTTGCTATAATAATCAAAAAAGATGTAAACCTTAATCCCTTGATAATTTTGATTATAGTAGGGATTCTTTAGGGTTCTTGATGTTCATAAATTATTGTTATCAATATAGTAAATTTAGATCCAAATAAGTTGTATGTGAAGTTAAGGGTTACATTATTTCGCCTCATGCTTTGTGTTATAGCCTATAAAACCTATCAGTGGTATCAGAACGATAGTTTCTATTTGATTCAGCATAATAATGATTAGATGGAAATTAAGGTTTATAGAAATTAAATCTTAAATACGATGGAATTTTGCAAATGGCTACCATTAGAAAAACCTTGGGTTCCCTTAGGTCTTTCTAGTTTTCTTAATGGGTCCTATTATAGATACCCCAATCTACTATCCTTATATAGCATTAGGCTCATCTTTTAGGTCATTATTATCATATCATTTAGCATAATCATTTTTATTTCTTTTGATATTACTTTATTATAATTTAATCCTTTCACTAATTTAATTATTTAATTATTATTTTATTTGCTAATTTTATTATTATAACTCTTTTAAAGTTATGTATTTATAAAATAAGAAAAATAAGACAATAATAATAGTATTTCTTTCATTAGATAATAATATAAATAATACTATAGAAAAATCGTGTATATATATCCCGAACAACAAAGTTTGCCATTTTTTTTGATTTTTTTCCTCTAAAATCTTAATCCTTTTAACATATTAAATTGCCAAATCGTATTATATATATATATATATATATATATATATATATATATATATATATATATATATATATATATATATATATATATATATATATATTCATGTTCATTTAAAATCATTCTAATTTTTTAAGACCGTGAGACCAAATCTAAAAATAATTTTAAAATATAAAATAAATGAAAAAATCCAAAAAAAAATAATTTAAATATTATTTTCGGAACTTCAATTAACTAAAACAAATAAATAAAAATTTAAAAATTTAAAAAAAAATCCTGTGTTTTTTTTTCAAAAATACGTGAAATATTCTAATAAAATATTACACTAACATATTCTAAAATATAATTTTAAAATGCAAAATAAATGGAAAAACTCTAAAAATTCTTTTTTTAAATATTATTTTCGGAATTTGAATTAACGAAGAAAAATAAAAAAATCCATTTTTTTTTGAAAAATATGTGAAATATTCTAATAGAATATTACACTGTACATGTTCTAAAAAATAATTTTAACATATAAAATAAATGGTAAAATCCAAAAATTCTTTTTTTAAATATTATTTTCGGAACTTGAATTAAATAAAAAAAAATAAAAAAATATAAAAATGTGTCTCACGGTTTCACAAAATTAGGCCGTCTCACATGAACCTAACCTTATATATATATATATATATATATATATATATATATATATATATATATATATATATATATAGGATGTTTCTATGTTGTAGTGATCTGCTCGATATATATATATATATATATATATATATATATATATATATATATATATATATATATATACGTAAGGATGCAGCAGCAGTGGTATGCTGGTTAGAGTACCAGTACACTAGTTATCGTCTACTAAAGTTCCTAAGGGTTGAATGTAGTCATGTAGGATTGTCTAAGAACTCATGATCCAAGCTTTCTTGCATGTTCCTTGTTTGGTTGTGGCTCCGGAGTAACATCATCTGTTAGGGGGGTTATCTCATCTCTAGTTACTTATGGCTATGCATTCCATAGGGATTAACTAAAAGCGGAGTAGTGTGAAGTGAGATTTATAGTAAGTAGTAGTGAGTTGTATGATTTGTATATTCATGTATTATGTGCCTACTTGATCGTTGTTTATATATCAACATACTGTGGTGGATGAAGTTGAGGCGGCCCTATTGTATGTTGTAGGCAAAGACACCAGGTGCGAGCCAGCTGTAAGCCGTTGGCATGGAGGCTCAGGAAGAGTGGTTGGGTTGAAACGGTCGGCCAACAAACTCGGAGCATTCCAGTCGGGACATTATGGGTTTGGGTATTCGAGTCTGATGACTGAGGACCCGATATGCATGCTTGTTTATTTTTTGTTAGGGGTATTTTTTGGGAACTCACTAAGCTTCATGTTTACCCACATGTTATTGTTTTTTTAGGTATCATCGGTTATCATGAGAAAGAGAATGTGTGACTGTACATATTCCTTAGCAACAATGCAAATTTCACGTTATTATATTACTCTAATTTTCAACGATTGGTTTTCTTAATACGGATTTTATAATATGGAGTTATACATTAATAAAAAGAAAATTTATGGTTATGGAAATGGGATGTTACCCTTATCAAGAGCAACACGTGGATATAAAGAACGCAGAAAACGAAGCACGTATTAGGAAGTTAGGGCTTTTAAAAAATTCGCGTTTTGAGTGAAGCACGGTGCATGATACATGCTTCAAGAAGGACATGTGGACCACCAGAAAAGTCACATGTGGCGTCTCGGGTGCACGTCGGGTGCTCAGTGTGCACCCCCAAAAGAAATGCCAAAAAAAGGGATGGTTTCTCTCTTATACACTTTGAAATATTCTTATAAAACCATAGGAAATTCAATATTTATATTTTAGCTATTTTTAGCTATCGTCTCGAGTTCGGTTGATCCCAAATGCTTCCCGAGTTCTATCTTCTGATTTCTACCCTACATCAACGGTTTCACGCTTCAAGGGTGAGTTCATGGCCCTATTTTTCAAACTTTTTCAAGGGCGGATACATGTTAAACTTCAAACGTTTCATAATTATTATTAATCATATAAGATTAGTTAGACAATTGTGCTCATAACATTAGAATAATATTATGCCTGTTAGATACTCTGCCTAACTTTTAAAGATATTATGTGTAGCTGTTACAATGCCTTACGCTAATAGAAAGCATCATGCCTAGTTGTTATGATGCCAGTTGCTAGGTAACGCTGCTACACCTAGTTGTTAATCTGGTCAACGCTTAAGGAAAGCATTACACCTAGTCATTAATCTAACCAAGGAAAACATTATACCTAGCCGGTTATCTGCCTAATTTATAAGCATAACTAGACGAATGTCTGCGCATTGCGCAGAAACACCTATATAGTCGAAATGTTTATAAATATATGTGTTTTTTAATATAATAATAGTTTTGTTATTAAATTTGATATAATACAGTGTATGCTAAATTGATATAAAATATGGATTATTTTGAATTATATGATAAAATATACATCTATTATAACTACATAATTTCAATCGTTTGAATGACATCTACTCGCGAGTTACTCATGAATACAATTAAATATAATATATGGTTTAATGTTATTTATAGTTGTTGTCATTGCTAATTAATTTTTTAGAGTTTATTTGCTTAACTTTTTAGTTTCTATCATTAAAATTAT